ATGACATTTATACTTATACTTTTTCGGTCTTGTTACATTTAAGACTACAACTCATCTTTATAGAAAATATAGGATTTTCTGGGATAAACATCAATACTTTTTAAGCAAACAAGTTTACAGGACAAACACGTATTCAACTAGTTTTACTTAATAATAAAACTATACGTTATTAAACTAAGTATGACATTTATACTTACATCTTTCGGTCTTGGAACATTAAAGATCACAACTCATTTCTATAGAAAATATAGGATTTTCTGGAAACAAATACGATTACATATTTCAAAGAATCAATCTTTAAGTGTGAGAAACTTATACAACTTTTGTCTTAAGGTACTAAAACTACGTTCTATTCAACTAATAAGAAAATATCGGATTTTCTGGAGGAACACCATAACATTTTCCAAAGAATAAGGGATATATTTTTACAACGAAAACACTTATGAACTCACCAACTTAAATGTTGATACACTTTTCAAATCACTTGTATTTTCAGGTATCTAGTAGACAGGTACACGCACAGATTTGAGAAGATGGAGCATAGTAGCTTCAAGTTTTTGTTCTGTTATTTACTTTTGGGAGTCAATCCAGTTGTGATTCGAATACAATGTAAATACTTTATTATCAATAAAATGGTTGTTGTTTCTTTGATTACTATTATCAATTGTTGTGATACTGTACATGACGTCCTCCACCCTCGAATGTTTCCGCCGTTCAGGTTTGGGGGCGTGACAAAATAAAAATGAAAAATTTGCCTTCAAAAACAGGACATTATAGTTAGTATGATTATTATGTCAATATTAATGATAAAACAACTATAAAAGCAAACTCTTATGCAAACCCAAATTTCGTTATTTATTGATACTCAATATAAGTAATTGAATGAATTGTAAAATTTGTTCACTTTTTAGTATTATAAATTCCGTTTCTTATACTTGGTTTTGTCATCCTTACTAGCCATATGGAATTCTCTCACAATATATGAAATTAAGTTCTTCCCTTCTTCTTTTCTTTCATCTATCATTCATCCATAACAAGGTAATATTATTGTCTATATATCTATGATATACCTAATAAGAAATATTATATGCAACATGTTCATTTATGTCCTTTTTATCTTATGATTTTTTCTATATTTTGTTTTTGGAATATTTATCGTTATAAGTAGTTTATATTGGGGTGATAATACTAAATATGATAATGGTTTCATAAAAGGTGACCATTCAAATTTGACTACTTCGAATATTACTAGACATAAAAGAGGGTATAATAATTAAAAGATTTTATGTTGTACACATGTTGGAGTTGAAAAAGCATTATATAAGTTGAATATCTCATTATGTTATCATTTTGTTGACAATGTAATATTGCATAGACCATAAGTGATTCAAGTCTACAGATGATGTAATATTTGACTAAGAATGTTGAACATTATTTTGCCAAGTTTTTATTAAAGTTGGAAAATTTACCATGGATAAATAATGTCGCCTATACACATTGTTTTTTTTATAGATCTTCATAATTATAACGTATCAGAGCCTATTTATTCAAATATATCATTTGTTTTTCCTCATTAAGATACATTTAAGAGAGATAATTTAATGAATCTCAACTCACAATATAGTGAATCAAGATACTAGTAGTGATTTATTATGTAATGATGGGGAGGATTCAAATAATAATGAATCTAAGTTACACTATTGTGAGATATAAAAGACATCATTTGTATGCTTTTGTCTATCTTTATCATATTGATTATTTGTTGAAGTCAGATTGAAAGATTAAATCAGATAGCTCAAAACTTTATGTTAATTGAGGTCAGAAGCTTGCAAACTGATTTTGTAACGAGACAGACATTCATTAGCAAAATGAACCTCCAGGATGTGAACTGTGCTACAAACCTGGTCATAATAGAAAAAATTGTCCAAATTTTCAACCAAGATTCATTACAATGTGAACTACAAAACTTTTTCTTAAGTAATGTTGTAATTTAGTGTATTATTTGTATTGTAATTTTTGCATTTAATATGTATTGTAATGTCGTTTTTAATAAGTCTTGTAATTTTATGACATCGTAATATATTTAATATTGATATCTATTTAAGATATTTGTGAGATCTAGATTTAATGATTTAATTTGTTAAAAAGGCATCAATTATAACCATATATTTTGAATAAATTAATATGTATATAATAGTATGTAATAAGGGTAAAAACTTAACTATTCAATAACAAAACATGAAATAAAAGTTAAATAGCTAAGATGGTAACATTTAAGGGTTCGCATTGAAAATATGTTACAAATATTCATGAATGAAAGAGGTAGAAATGTTAAAAATAATGTGCCCGGTACAAATAAACTATTTCAAAGTATTTTCAATCTAAACTATTTCCAGAAATAGTTTTAAAAAATAAACTTACTTTTACAAAATACTTGGTAGCTTGTATTCATTCTTTCTTTAATGTCTATATTATTACATCCCACATTTATACATAGTGGATATCCCATAAGGTCTACAAACACCCTTTTAGTCATGTTGATGAATTAGGTACAAAACCTCAAAAGAACAATTTCCAGTAATTAGTGGATACTCATATATATCAACATCAACATGATCACATACTTCTACATGCATTATAGTTACTACACCATTTTTATAGCCTACTGAGGATGTTACACATGTATAATGTATGTATGTTTAAATGTGGGATTTTGCCATGAATAAACTTTTTTTTTTGGGGGGAGGGGGGAGGGAGGATTTCAAAAAGGTTTTTCCAGCAATAGACACGCGTTCCGCGGAGGGGTCATCTACGGGCTCTACGGAATGATAGATATATTCACGGAATGGCTTTTTCATAAATAAATCAAGGGTAGGTTCGTAATTTTTCCCAATCCACAGAGCAGTTGACGAGGTCTGCGGAGGGGCTCCACGAACCCTTCGTTATTTGGTTAATTTAGATAAACGACCTTCGCATTACCCTTGTCGACCGCCACTCTAATTTACGTCTCCGCTGCTTCGTATTACCCTCGTTGACCCCCACTCCGCTTCGTCGACCTCCGTTTTATTCCTCGCCGATGAAAGGAGATGGATCATAATGCCTTTAATGTTTTTGGTGATGGTTTAAAGACCCTAGAAAACGAGCGAAACTGGGAAAGAAGAAGGTTTAGGGTAGGATGAGTAATAAAAATGCATTATATGTTCCTAAGAAAAACCTAGAAAATGCATTGCGTTTTCATATTCTTTAGTTTTAGGGTAGGATGTGTAATTAAAATGCATTATATGTTCCTAAGAAAAACCTAGAAAAAGAGCGAAAATGGGGAAGAAGAAGGTTTTTAGGGAAGATCCATTCCACGGAGGGTATGATGTATGTGCAGAGGGAGCTCCGCGGACTGACCTTTACCCTCCACGGAATGACCTTTAAATAATTCTTTTTCTTCCGTATTATAGCAATGTAATTTTAAATTATTACCCTTTATATAAAAGTTAAAATTAGTTCATATGTTGACGAGAATTGTATAATTAGGTAGTTTTTAATGTAAATTGAAAGTATGTTGCTATTTATTTTCTTAAATTAAATGTATATGTTTTGTAGCACGATGATCTCGGACAAAAAACCGATTTAACTTTAAAGGGCGTCGTCGGTACCATCATTAAAGACTATTTCCACGACTATTTAAATCGCAATGAACATTATTTGAAGCTTACCGTTTGGGAAATTCTTAGGAATGCATGTCCCCAATGGTGACAACTTACTCGTCCATTTGATGATGTTGCATGAAGTACAGTCTCAAGACATGTTTGAAGCGGGGAGGTTTCAGTTTGAGATATAAGGGGTGCACTTAGAATTTGGTGAAACAGAGTATACTTTTATAAGCAGGTTAAGAGTTGGCCCTTATGTCCATTTACTCCATAAAGAAAAAGGCCACTCAAATTCAAATCGTTGGGCTCGATTGTTCCTAGACATTACAGATGCACGTTTGTGACTCAGATACTTAGAAAAGTACATTATGTCTCCAAAATATCTTGCGCTTGAAGACGAAGATGCGGTAATGCGTATCCAACTTGTTTTTCTGTTTAAAGGTCTCCACGGAAGGGACGTTAAAACATGCATTCCCACATCAATATATAAGCTTACAGATAATATATATAATTGGAACATGTACTACATTTGTAAATTCTTTATAAATAAAAAATATAATTATATAATTAAAATGAAAATTCCAGGTTTGCATGGGGTACATACCTCTGGACCAATACTTCAGGGTCGATGCATGAAATGTTTGAAAAATTGAAAGATTTAAACTATTTAAGCAGGCCAATTTAGAGTCGATGAAAATACATAAGTATACTGTTGCTGGTTTTATGCTTCTATTTAAGGTTAGTTTGAAATGAAATTTTATACCATAATAGCATCATACTTTATTTTCTATACCATAATAGCATTGTACTTTCGTTTTTATGCCATAATAGCATCATAGTTTTGTTTTCATACCATATCATCATACTTTTGTTTTTATACTATAAAAACATCATACTTTCCTTTTTATCCCATAGATATGGATTTTTGAGACGTTCCTAAAGGCAATGTAGTTTGTTTTTCACACGATGGGAGAATTGCCACGAATAAGGGTGTGAAGAAGAAAAACACCATTATCTTGGGATCAATGTCGTCGTTTAATAAACATGTCTTCAATATGTTTTATTATATTATAATTATATATACTTATACATTCCAATGTTTTTTTTGGTGTTCAACTAACAATGTAATATTTATAGCATAACAACCAGCCACGTGTTGTCGAGGCAACGTAAACGAAGATCCTTGAGCCATTTTATGTTTGCTATGTAAATTGGACTCTGAACTGTGTGGAATCTCCCCCACGGAAGCAAATTCCACCTCTTTCTGTTGTCAACCTCATCGAAGAAAGAAGTATAAGGATGGAACATCTTCCATAAAAAACAACCTCATCTGCTTCTTTCTCGCACCAGACCAGTCGCATGTCAAGTGACACATCAGCAAGGTCGGTAAAGAAAATGAAGACGAGCACGAGGTCATTGATGAAGCATCTAATAGGCGTTGTGTGTCATTTGTCTTCAAAAGTAGATCTTGTATTGCAGAAACATGATAAACCAAATACAAGGTTTAGTGGGGAGGACTTGGTAAATGAAGAGGAGGAAGAGGGAGATTACCATGGTTCGGAGATGAATTTTGACGATACTTTTGTTCATGGGTTGGAGAAGGAATTTGGACCTAGTGGTACGGGGCATGTAGTTGAGTCGTCACCGGAGATTGTTCAACTTGACAACAAAACAACCACACCTATTGCTAGGCCATACCGAATGATGGTTCCTTCGCAGTTGTATTAATATAATCTAAACTTTTCTATTTATAAAATATTACATTGTTGATAATTATGTAACATTTTATGTAACGTCCCAAAAATACCGTGTAAAAATTTTATTTTAAATAAGTCAATACAATTCATTCATTATTCCAAAACACAATCACAGTCAAAAGTATTCTCAAAACATCTGAGTGAAATCATAAACAATCAAAGCGAAATAAATCTCCAGGGAATGTAGTGCGATCTAGGCGACCCTTCATTTTGAAATCAGAAGTACCCTAAAAACATTTTAAACATAAACTATAAGCACAAAGCTTAGTGATTTCCCCAAAATATTACATACTCAACATACATTACAGTTGCAAGCTAAACCGAGTCTATTTCAACCCTGAGTCTCTTCCAACTCCTTCGGTATCTTTAAACCGGTACCGGTCTATTTCACCCCTGAGTCCCTTCCAAATCCTTTGGTATATTTCAACCGGTACGAGTCTACTTAACCCGTGAGTGCCTTCCGACTCCTTCAGTATCTTTCAACCGGTACATGTCTATTTCACCCATGAGTCCCTTCCGACTCCTTCGGTATCTTTCAAACAGTACGGGTCTATTTCACCCACTACATCTATGCATATAGTTATATCAACAAGAGTGACAAAGACAAAAAGCACATATAGGAATATCAACAAGTGTCAAAAAGACAACTATCATCCTACAAGATAATCTAGTGGGCCGGTATTGGTGCCTTCGACCCATGAGTACAGTGAAGAGAATGACCTTAGTTATTCATCAGAAGTGCAACAACTACCTCAACATCAAAACAGCCAACCAAAACTTCCTAAAACGAAACCCAGACCAATCCTTAGTCAAATACTCAATTCTACCCAAGTTTGACCAAAAGTCAAACTGGTCAAAGAGTCAACGAGCAACTTAGTCAAAGTCAAAGTCATGTCGTGACCATTCCTTGGTCGTGACGTGAGAAGGCAATGAAAAAAAAATTGAGATTCCGGACACCATCACGTCGTGACACATCCTATGTCACATCCTTACTTTTGGCCAGCAGTCCAAAATCTTCATTAAGTGCTTAATCTCTTTAGACCAAGGCCCATAACCTTAGATCTAGTTCCTAAATAGCTTCATAATGGATGAAGTTTCCAACTTTATCCATTAGGATGGTCCAAACAACCAAGATCTTGCACTAAAGTCTCAAAGGGACCACAAATGCATCTTTCTCAACTAAATCCATTAAGTCCAAGTCGCCAACCTTCAGATCTGAATCAACATGATGTTTAGATGGATAAAGTTTCAAAAATTTATCCATAATAATGTCTCAAGCTTTCAAGTTCTAAACTTTAATACACCAAAATGGCCTAAATGACCAAAATAACTTGCATGGCTGAAAGGGAAGGCAAAATATCAAAACTTTCCAAGTCCATGAGGTCCAAGAAAACATTCTAAACTGATCAAAAGGTGTTGGGGTCCAGATATGAAACATACAATGTTCTTGGAACCTTGGAGAGTAATAAAGTTGAAAACTTTATTCCCAACTCTCACTCAAAACTCATTAAAATGGACCAAAACACCAAATACACTTAGATCCAAAGATGAAATGCAATAAAGCTTGGAACGTTATAACTTACAAAGGTCTAGAAGGTAGATGGAAGTTAAGATCTTGAATTACCAAGCTTCAAGGATTAATCTTGCATGAAAACATTGCACCAAAACCACAAAAAACTCCAAAAAAATGGATGAGAGAGGGGAGAGGGGAGGCTCAAATCTTGAAAATGGAGGCTAGGGTTTCTCCTAAGGGGTTCTAGATATGATGCAGGCTAAGAAAATAACCTAAAACATGAATCCTTACCTTTAAATACCTTGAAAACCCTAAAAATTTCATAGGTTTTGGGCTGCACAGTCTTACGTCATGAGAATATATTTTCACCTCATGAGGACTCTCACGTCGTGAGCATTACTTCTCACCCCGTAAGAATGGGTTTTCACAGAAATTTCTCTCCAACTTCAAACAATCATAACTGGTTCGTTTCAACTCCATTTTCGGCGTTCTTTATATGCACGGAAAGGTATTGACGGACCCCATAACCCTATATAATTAATTTTGACATAAAACAAAACAAACTAAAATCCTTAATTCATGAAACAAGTTTGAAACATCTATTTTCCCATTTTACGCTTTGACTCCAAGACACAAACCAAGGCTTTAATCACTTCTCCAACATTATCATCATCTAATAAGGTCTAAACCCCATTCCCTTAAATCCCAAGGCCTTTAATTGATCCATTTATTGTACATGATCTTGGAATAAGGAACTTTTTGAAACAGGATGTTACAACTCTCCCCTACTTAAACTGGATTTCGACCTAAAAATCCTTCTTGATTAGGATCTCTAAAAACAATGCCAACACATTCCATAAGCTTCCTCTAACCACTTCGAAATCAATGCATATTATAAATAAAGCATGAGAGACCACTCGGAAATGCACGGCTGGCAAAAAACAAGCTAAAAACTTGAAAATACTCAACCGCACAACTATCTTTCTCTCCCTAACTGAAGACCCAACTTCCAGTGAGGACCAATCAAACCAGAAACTCTTAAAACTACAACCAAAAAACAATTCCATCAATATACTTCCCGGAACTAGGAATCCATCAGTCTAAACTTCAGAAACCGTACCCTAAGTCTGATGATCATCTATTCGTTGTACCTACCCCTAGTTCCTTGACTAGGAACACCACCAAACCATGTAGAAAGAATACTCAAGACATCCGATCATGAATTTCAATTAACCCCAAATCCGGAAATTGTGCCCATAACCTTAAATACACATGTAACTTCTTGACAAGTCATCACTATCCCACTACTCCCACAAGCATAGTGATGGTCAATCTAAGAATCTCATGTTGCATCGAAATACCTCATTAGATTAGCTGTACATCCACTTGATAAAAACACTTGAGTCATTTACAACGAACTTCATGAATCGAGTTTTCATAATTGATACCAAACATTGGTAACCAATTCCTAATAGACAGCCCGCAAGCAATAGGGATCAATATGAAAACATTCAACAAGAGACTTACGATGCACTATTAATACTCCCAACATACCTTTTTATTAACCACATGATCTGAACCAACTGGTCACTAAGTTCCCCGACTCCCAACAATGCACTAGCACCCAAACATGTGAATAATACTAACAATCCAAGACCTAAGAGTCTCAATCAAATGACTAATGGGTCCCACCCATATCAATCATACAACCACGTACTGGTTCACGATACATCGTAACACTTTTTAACCACAAAAACGACAAGTTCACGATACTACGCCAATCTTGCCGTCATTCCATCATTGGCCTAAATACTTATGACCATCACCATAGGGGCGTAAAAATACTCAATCATCAACCCAAATACTTGCAGGATTCCAATCAACATCCCTCTCAACACTAACCAAACACAACCTGAGCCATACCCTTTTATAACACACAATTCCTTTCATAGAACAGGCTATTACCAATGCAAAAACAGACGAAAACATGGTCACCCACAACCAGAGAGTAAGATAGGCTATTGTACTCTTGTTCCATTTTGAAGGCTACAACCCAAATAAGAACCATGCCAATAGTTCGAACCGAGTGTTCCTTTTCAATCTTGTTCAATCCACATACACCCCACATAAAAATATCTAATGGACTTACCATAATACACAACCTCAGTAGACCCCATAACCAACCATGGATCAACTTCATTCCTTTTTTTCACAACCTTACCCAAAGGGTGAAGTACCAGTAGATCTCACGAAATGACAAATATCAATCGTTAACAAAAACATCCACATGAATGACTGAAGCAAGCTCCCACACCTTGAAAAAAACTGGACAGATTCCACCATTACGTAACCAGCTCAATAAAAATTCCAAAGTTATCTAGAAATGATGCTAAAACCCTGGTCGAATCAATCCAAATACCAACCCTGCCGACATGACGTGTCAAAATTGAATTCTACGCAGGTCCAAAGCCACACTTGAAAAACTATACAACACCACTTTGACATTCAAACTCCTAATAACCAAGGACAACTGCTAAACCTGAGGCCACTATGAAAATTACTTCCATAACCAACAACTAAGGGTATCCATAGCTAGAAACCAAAATATACAACGTACAGATTTTGGCGATAGGTTGAATAAATCTCGAACTTTCGAAGAACCACGACTATTTATGATGAACGAAATGACCAACGATCGAGAATGCATGGATTACTAATCCAATGAACCAATACTATAATGCATGGTTTTCAGGTGAATTTCCTAAATTCTAAAGTGTTTGTTTATTTTTCACATTGGTATATTATGTTGGGCGTAATCAAGGTATGCTGGGCGTACCTTGGCGAATCTTAGACATGGGGTTTTCCCCCTGGTACACTGGTTGTGCTCGAGCCATGGGTAACCCCTAAAGTTTAGGGTTTGCACCCTATTTAGCATTTTATAACCTTAAGGCCTCTTCTATCATCAACCTCCTTTGTCCAAAAGTAGATCCCATGAAACCCTAATCCGCTTTTAGAGAATATTGAGCCTTGTGTGTGTTTTGGTGTGTGTTTGGTGCATATTGAAGGAAGAAGAACCCTTTGGAGAAGAATTTGTTGGTGTGAAGCTTGTGGATCTAGAATCTATTCACCTTGATCATCCTCTTGGAGGTATAAATTCTCAACCTTGTTGAATCATCTTTTAGATCTAGTTAGTTTAGGGTTTTTGGCATATTTTGGTCCCTTGAGTTGATTCATGTGAGTATAAGCCATTCCATAAGCTTAGAATAGTAGATCTTGATGTTTTTGAGGTCCCTTGTTTATAAAAATGGCATCTTGATGGATTTAGCTCGGCCATGCAAGAGTTGATGTTCATGTTATGGAGTTAGAATGTTAAAAATGGGTGTTGGGCCTCCTTGTGCCATGCAAAGGGAACAAGTTGATGACTTTATCATTTAAGACATTTCCCAAGAGCTAGATAT